ATCCTAGGAGGAGTATCTACATTTTTGTAATGAAAGATTCTATTAGGAAAAAATAATAAAAAGACAAGTCTAAACTGAGCTTGAGTCTAATATTACTACAACACAACTCTGTTAAAATTACCATACATTACAAGTAGTGCCAAATATAATAAATCAAAAGAAACCACAAATTAATATTTAAACTCAGTATAATGTAGAAGCATGAGAAATATTTCATATAAATGTATACCTAATTCTGAAAAGCATTTAAATATGCATATAACACTTTGAAAGATTATATATATGATAAATCATATATGTGTATGAATGTATATGTATTTATGTGCATATATAATATAGTAGATGAATAGATGGGGAGAGAAAAAGAGAAGAGGGGCAGATGCATATACTTCTCTTAATCTTCTTCAAAGTTTGAATCAAGGATATTTAGAAAGGTCAAAATAACAAACTTCTATTTTTCCATCTATGTATTTCAGTGAAGCTATTGATTATTCATCAATTGTTGGCCCCTATATCTGTGTCTGTTGTCTCTTCTTCCCATGTCACAGCAAGGAGGAAAATTAGAAAGAAAAGAAATATGCTGGAAAGAATTTGATAACTGTCTAAAGTAATTGGTGGGGAAATTTATTTTTTCTTTTACTTGTATGTCTACAAGCTAACCTCTTGACATATATTTTCGTCACGGCTCTATACTATGTTGAGTTGAAAAAAATATCCCAAAATACCTTGTGCATGAATCAAAATATGATCATCTAACTTTGTGTGTGTGTGTGTGTGTAGAAAAATCTGTGCAGTTCAATATTTATGGGTCAGTTATTCTTTACTATTGTAATTTTCAAACCCAGTTGAAGAGGTTAAGTGCCGTGGCACTGTATGTTTCAATGGTGTGTTACCTATGTGCTGACTGTTGTTATTATCTGAGTGAGTCTTCATTTGTTATAAACTAAAGTTTTGGATGGAATTCAACCGCAACATGGCATGGGTTAAGGAGGAGGCTTTATTAAGAAAAGAAAACTTATAAATTGAGAGTCAGAAAGGAGAGGTTAGGACACAAGTCCCTCTATTCTCCTAGCATCCCACGTCCTAGAGTCAGAGTGAAAGTAGACTTTCAGTAAGCACCTACATTCTAGTGTAGGAATTACCACCACCATATTGCTCCCCTTTATGGCACAGTTGGGAAAGCAACTTTGCTAAGTGGAGTAAAAATTAAACTGCTTGACACCAAGCAGTCTAAGGACAAGGTGTCAATTGTTTGAGTTGTCTGGGAATACCAGCTGCTCTGTCTCTGAGGATTTGGGGCAACAATGGGATGTTACAGTTCCACTGTGGGGTTAACCAAAAATCCTGTGGGAATATTATTTTCAGTGCACCTCACTTTGGGAGAAGAGGGGGTTTCTCTAGTACCTCATTTTCCAGGTAACTGAGAGTGAGCTCTCAGGATCATGTTAGACAACTCCATTTATTGAACTATTCTGAATCTGCTTCTTCTGCCAATAAAACTCAACATTTCAACTGACATAAAAAAATTGAACAATTTTTGTTCCCACTTTATTTTTCTCTTAGAGACTGATCTAGTTAAATGGTTACTGCCACTAATGTCAGTCAAAGATAAAAATTTTTGATAGGGCTAGTAGGTCATGCCTTTTCATTTAGAGCTTACTCTCCATGGTGTATGCAATTGTTTTGAATGACATGGTAAAGATGTTTTTCAACCCTAAGAAATTAGAGATAAAATAAAAAATATGTAGCTGTCAGTAAAAATTTTATATTGGAAATGTCATTGCTGAAAAAATAACTTGGATGGATATAAGTATCTTTTTAGAATTACGAGATCACAGAGGGCCTACTTTGGTTATATTGAAACGAGCTAAACAGTTGGTCACATCTCTTATGCTGTGATTTTTTGTCCCACCCTTCTTCATCCATTCATTGGAGGTTGACAGAAGCTGGCTAAACATAATGTCCATACATATGTAAAGATTATAGAAATGGTGGAGAAGAAATAGGAGAAATAGGAGAAATCCCCAAGAGCTCTGGAAAACATAGAAAGGAAACTCTGCAAAAGTAAATTGTATGAAATTTCGAGACTCCATAAAGCACAGAGTAAATAATCGTAACAGAGGTTATAATAACCAAAGACTGGCGAAGTGTAGAGCTGTTGCAGAGGTAAGATCATTCTTTACCATGGGACCCCAGAGAGACTTATAGTCTAGAAACTGTAATTACAGGGAGTGTGGTTGAGACATAGGACAGTCCTCAAAGTAATTACTTAAAGTAAGAACTCAAGTTCATTTGGGCCATGCATTGTTATCCTACCCAAGATATTAATGACAGACTGTGTTAATTTCTTTGAGTTTAGAACAATCCTAAACATTCTCTAAATAAAGTAATGATGTGCCAAGGAGAATTGTAGTTGAACAGAACATTAAAATTAAGCAAAACCCAGTGTGAGAGTAACTCTGGAATATAGCACTATGAGGTGTACAAAAGAAAAAATCAATAAAAGAACGGAAGTTTCAACCAGGAATGAAAAAAATACAAAAATATTCTTCAAGGTTTAAACGTATAGGTT